ATCAGGGTTGTCTTGTAAGTACATTAACCATAACATTTGACTCAGACCATGAAGGATAGAATATATATTACATGATGACTTGAAAACAGTGATATCGGTAAAAGTGGTATCGGTTGACTCAGAAATATTTCCTGCTCTTGGGGAATAGTCGTGTTAGGCTTGTTCCAACGGAATTGTTACGGATGATTACTTATACTTCCTTCGTTTGAGAACCTAACCAGGTTTTGCAATGTAAGATAAACTCGCTCCTAAATGTTGTGGTTTTTTTTTGTTTTTTATTTGACCAAGAATTCATCCTGTTAATGCGGTGTTATATTTTTCACCTGTTAATCATTGAGTCAAAATGAGTTTGCACAGCAATTTATATTAGGTGAAACAGGTATGAATTCAAACTTTGTTCGAATACCACTTTCAGCAATTTAATGACTAATATCACGACGTTTGATTATTTTGTTGTCACTTATATTTGTATAAAAGCAGGCTAGTTAGACTGTTGCGGGGGCAGGTGATACTTGAAGCTGCCGAGCAGTTTCTTTTCATTGCAAATAAACTATTATTCTCCGCCTCTTTCGCTTTCTTGGTTCTTGTGAAGCTTAAGAATTACGACTATTTTTTTACAAGATAGAACGCGGGAATCTTTGTATAGGAAGCTTGAATAACTAAAGAAACATGACTCTACGATCAAGCTGCGTTTTTCTTCTTCCCTTGGTAGGTAAGTTTGCATTTGAAACGATTATTATCGACCGAAGCAATATTTACAATGTAGAGGGTTTGCATTTTGTCAAACATTCATCAATCCTCAAATAGCTGATACGTTTCTTTGGAAATGAGAAGTTTTTTTTATAACCTTTTTTAGGTATTTTTTTCTGTCCGAATTAACATGTCAAAGAACTCCGACCATAAGGGCTATTTTTGTTCTCAGTGAAATATGGTAAATTCGTGAACCTTTGCATACAGTAAACGAAGCCATCTGTTCTTTAATGATTTCCTTTTTCTTTTAATAACGAAGTATATTCGCATTTCAAACTGTTATA